CTTTGGGCCCTACATCCAGGTTTTGAGACCCCAAAACCCCTTTGGGGTGTCCAATGGAGGGTGTGGGTCTTCCATTAGAAGCCCCAGGAGCCTCTGGGTACTGATTTGAACCATGCCCTCAGACATTTTCTTGGGACGGCACCAGCACCAAAACGTCAATCCGACCGCGTGCGGGGCGGCAAGCATGCAGCTGGCTGTTGCGATGGCAAAGAAACTCAGTCACTCAGTCAAACAAGAATGGAACCAAGGCAGCGTTGACCCATCAGCATCACGCTTCCTGGGAGATTCCCATCCGTCCGATTCGAGGGGCGGTTGCTCTTGCTGTCGCGCTGTCGCAGCTGTGGCCCGGCCACTGGCGGGAGCCTCAGGCCCGGCCACTGGCGGGAGCCTCAGGCCCCCGAGCTGTCCGTCACAAGCTCTGTCGCGCCTGCATGCGCCTGCCTCTGCCGCAGTTGTTTGTCATAGGCTTCGCCGAGTCGGCGGGCCAGAGCCAGTCAGTGAGCCAGAGCCAGTCAGTGAGCCAGTGGGAGTGAGTGAGTGGTGCTGCCGGCGCCTTGTACGCGTCACCTGTTTCAGGGTTTTCAAGGATGCCTCTCACAAGCGAAGTGGAGGGCAGGCGTCAGAGGGAGGTGCAATCGCACATCATATTCACAATGAAGGCTTTCAATCACCCATCGAACAAGTGAAGGCGACAAGCCTGGCTCCGTCCGTCAGGGATCGTCGCTCTCGCGCATCGGCCTTTGGGGATCTGCTTGGCTAAACTGAGAAGCCTCGAAAACAATGACATGTTCGTAAGGGGTCTGGGGGTAGCTTGGAGTGGGCATTGTATGGATGTCACTTCTGCGTGCTGCAAACCGCTTTGGTTCTGGTGGACTGCTGTTGGCTTTTGGAAGGAGGCTACTTTTAAGAAGGCTGCTTTGAGGAGGGCCTCCCCTCCCAGCACCACTAGCATCAGCAATATGTCGTTCGCAGGCCTTGAGCTTCCTTGGGAAGCGGAGTCACTGGCTGGACAAGTCTGAGTGAGAATGCGAGCTGGGCATTTCAGACCTTGCGGAATAGGGGCCGGGTTTCAGAGGAAATGCTCACTCGAGCTTGACCCAGTTGTCGGTGCTCCAAATGACTTCCTGACATCTCTCAATTAACTTGTTCAAAACAGGGGTTCGTGGAAGTGGGCATTGGTCACACGCGTGCCAAGACCGTGCTGGGTCAAAATTGCCACTCGTTCCCTGCGCATCCTTTCGCGCAACTCGTTGGCCGCGGCTTTTCATTGCGCAGGAGGTGGTCCTGGGCAATGAGACGCGGCGGGTGCTAGCCGAGATGCTGAGCCAGCCGGAGCCTAGAACAAAACAAGACGGTTTGTTGTTTGCCGAGGTCCCTTGGTACAAACCCATTCAAAAAAGTTAAGCAGACATTTCCTGGATACCGCTAGGTTGATAGTGACAGCCAGCAATACAAAGGAACGTTGGACAGAGGTGCTTGTTTTCCCCTTTCCCGTCCACGGGAAGGTAGCCGCAGGGTCAGGTTCTGGCCTCAACTCCTGGCCTCAACCAGTGGGGTTGCCCACCAGAGATGCTCCATGGGATGAGCGGCCGGCTGGGACTCCGGAGGGTTACGTGTCGCCATCGGCCCGGCGCCAAAGCTGCATGGCCAAGCGGCAGGACAGCGAAACATCAAGCAGGGTGTATCTGTTTTGGTTTAGGGACCCACAGTTGTTTGGTTGTTCGTTTGGTGTCCCTTTCACGGCTAGCAAACAAAGCTCACTTGGTTGGAGGATTCAATGGGAGGTCCAGCAAGCCGCGCAAACGAACAAACAACCTTACAGCACCGGTGAGTTCGGGGCACTTTGATGTAATTGCTTGAGAAGCGCAAGAGCGGCATGTAGATCTTGCGGTGTGCCGGGGTTGCTTGAGGATGCCAGATTTGCCGCATTTGCCGGGTCATGTCACGCCTGATTGCTTCTCGAACATGCCGCTGTTCCGCAAACGCCGGCCTTCACAAGCCGAAATTCACAGCCCCAAATCTAAGCGTGAGACTTTCGTTTGGTAGGCTAGCCTTTTTTCCCAAGGAAAAGCAGCGCACCGCACACTCCTTCGAGGTGCCTGAGGTCTTTGAGCACCTGGGCGTTGGGTGCTTGCGGGCGTGGGCTAAAAATTGGGGCCACTTGTGCAATTACCACGGGAGTGCCTGCGTGGCCCTAGAGATACAGTATGAAGATGGTAATCCCGCTCACAGAAAGGCGTCATGCCGGGCAGATGACATGGGGCCCTCGGTCGCAGCGTGCAAGGGGCTAATGCCATAGGTCTGATTTTTTTTCGACAGCTTTTTGCCTACCGGACGTCTCGGGGTCCTGGCTTAGACTAAAAGGGCCTGTTTGGTGGGTTCCATCTTAGTGGACAGGAGAGTACTCCAAAACTAGATCCAAATATAAATTACGCCGAATCGACGGGCTGGCCAGTGAAACCGGAAACTGCTACGAGCCAAGAGCGGTGAGCGAATCGACGTGGGTCAACTAAATGCTCATTGTAGCATCGGCCTTTCTGGGCGTGGCATTTCGACCGGCCCCGGCCCATCCCAGGAATTACAGAAGGATCGGGGACGGCGCTGACATCTCCAGCGTAGACTTCATCCATGATTCGCAGATGGCTGGAAAGGTGCGGCAGATGGGCATGGCGTCATCGAGTTGTTTCAGGTATGCTGAGTGATGAATGGAATGAAGCAGCAGCAGATGAACCATAGATACCCGCCCATGAAACACATGCATAGAAGCAGCACAGGCGTTCCTGGATGACCAAATTTTCCTAGAAGGACCCCTGTGCAGGTTCCACGTTTGTTGGTGGGGGGGTCATCATAGCTTGAGTATTCGGAAGAGCAACGAATGAGCGTTGCTCTGGAGGCACCACTGCGCTCACCCATCAAGATGATGTTCAAGCCTGCGGACGATTCTCACCCTCCGTGCTGGTGCTCCAGCTGCAATTTATTCTGTCAGTGTAGTTTGGTGTGAGAGTTGTCTCGGGTCTCAAGCTTTGCGATGTTTTGCAGCTATTTGATGTTCTCAGTTGCCGATGTTTTGTCCGCCCAAGTTTGCTGGCGCGATAGGTAGGGGACGAGCCCGGGTTTGGGAATGAACCTTGCGATTCCCTTCATCTTAAAGGAAACTGTAGAGGGGTCATTCCCTGATTCCCTGCTGAGAACCAGCAAGCAACTTTGTGGCCCAGCCGCCCACCTTCACCTCACCTCCATTTCCGACCCACGAAGCAGGCAGGAAGAAGGCCCTCGTCTCGAAAACGTGGCAACTTGGCCACAACTGTCGCCTCAGGCTCGCCGTGTTCAACGAGACGGAGGAGCCCTTGAAGGTCACGGTGGTGTCGAACAACGTGAAGTCCGGCGCGGCAGGCTCCGACAAGGAGACCAAGATGCGCCCCGCATCGCCTGGTTTTTTTTGCGGGTGAGTCGATCAGTTCTCCGTGACGAAGCCCTTTCTTTGGTGCATTTTGCCAAGGGATGTTCAGACTTCAACTTGTTGCCAACTAATGGGTTTTGCGCATGAAACCACTAGAAGTTATTCACTTTTAGCAGGGGGGCCCATCGTTCTGTGCAAAAGCCGGCCGTTTGCCTGGGTTTCCGGGGGTGTTGCTAGAAAGAAGCATCCCTGGAAAGAATGGGGAAGGTAGCGCTAGCAAAACCCTTTACTCAACCAAGACAAATGGTTTGTGAAACCAAAGTGGATCACGGCAGCGTTGGGTCGCTAGGCCGCTAGGCACGGGAGACGTATCGAACAACATTTATCAAGCACCACCAAGACTTACTAGATCTTATTAGGCTAATTTATTGGGCATCAAGCAAGACCAAATTGCCCTTCATCTCCCTCCCTACCTTCCTTCCTTCCTTCCTTCCTTCCTACCTACCTTCCTCCCTTCCTTCCTTCCTTCCTTCCTTCCTTCCTTCCTTCCTTCCTTCCTTCCTTCCTTCCTTCCTTCCTTCCTTCCTCAGAGCTGCTTTGGGAATGGTGTTTAGTTGTTGTTTGATGCCCAACTAATTTTCATGCTGAATTAGTGTTTTGAGGCGTATTCCCAAGATGTCTCAGCCCTTGGCAGGTGTCTGAAGGGTTGTGGGGTCATCTTTCTTGGCCACCGCGTTTTGTAACAGTTTTGCTTCGGTCACGTTGCTTCAGACCATACAGCATCACAGATCAAGAAGGGGCCGGGTGTTAATGTGGCTCCACATGCACCCCCGATTCGCGCAATAAAAGCGGCGCTTTGGGGCGTCGCCGGCCCGTTTTAGCCCCCCAGAACACGAGGCCGAAAACGGTCGCGTCCGTCACCGGCCCGGCCGGTTAACCGGTTGAGGTCCATCAATGGCTTGTACCTCGGGGTGGTGCTCACCATTGGCAACCTCTTCCGGAGCATCTTCAAGGACAGCTCCAAGCGGATGATCTATGAGGCGCGTGGCGCATTGCGCACCTGGCACTTTCAAAGCCTTTGGCGGAACCTATGCCGAGTGTTCAGTCCCGAAGCCCAGAAGAGAGAGGTTGTGATTGAAGTAGGGCTGAAGCCCACTCTAACTAGGTCCCCCAGTAGTGCCCTTTTACCCTTTTTTGGGGGAGGGTTCCCCTACTAAAATAGGCTACAGAAAAAAGGGTACCCTTATTCTAACCTCTCTACTGGAGGACCTAGTCAATCATACCACAAAGGACCAAGACTTCGTCCTTCGAAGGCCTGCCTGGGATAAAGTGGACAGAAGCAACTCCCATCCTGCAGGAAGTCTCAGACACGGATCTTCTGCTGGACTTGTGTGATGGCATCTACCTGGCACGAGTGCAAGGCAACCTGCGCGCCGAGTGGGAGCTCTATCACGAGTCACGCCTGAAATCGGAAGCCTGGGTCGACCCCAGCAAATTGCCATTTCCCAAGACCACAACTTGGCAACTCCCAGCCATCCCCTCAGCTTTTTGTCGGGTTCAAACGGACAGCCCAGACAAGAACTACTGCTTGGCCAATCTCCGGAGCGGCCACCGGTTGCTCGAAGGCCAAGTGCCGAAGGCCAAGTCTCAGACGGCAGATCCAGCCCGCAAAGTGCCCGATGTTGCTCGCCTTGCGAAGCTGGACATGGCAAAAATGTCAATTGCTTTGAACCAGCTTGCTACAACTCATTCACAGGATGCCCATCAAAGGTTCACGGCCACACCGACTGACTTTGCATGGCACTTTGCTTCAAGACTCAAGACACCTCTTCCAATTTTGGAGTTCACTTGGGTGCCCGGTGAGTTTCCTTGTGCAGTTGCCCCCGCCATTTCGTTTTGTTTTTTTTTTTTGGGGGGGGCATCCCATGAGAATAAGCCGACCAACAAGACATGTGTTGGTCTTCTAGCTGGCAGATCGATGTTAGGTCCTTCAAATCCACCAGGTCCTTCAAGTCCTTTAAAATCCTGAAAAAATCCACCTGAAGGATCTAGGTCCGAATCCACTTTCAATCCTAAAGGTCATTGTTTATATCCTTTTTCAGGACCTTCCTTAAATCCTTAAACAAAAAACATTATATCCTTTTCAGGAAAAAGCCCTTGTCCACTTGAAGGAAGGTCCGAATCCACAAAAAGGTCCTTTGGGTCCTTTGGGTTCCGGCAGACAGAGTTGTGGGCCACCCCCCCCCCCATTTCCCACGGCGTCCCGGTTCCAAGGAGCTGCTGCGGATCTACCGGAGCCCTGAGCTCCTGGCGCATGTGTCCAGCAAGAAAGGCGCCGGAAGCAAAGGGCCCTTTTTGTGGAAATTGGGACCTAGGGCCTTCAAGCGGATTTAAAAAGGATTGAAAGGACCCAAAGGAGGGTTTCTCGTTTTTTTGGTTGACCTTCGAGTTTCAAAAGGGGGGAAATTGATGGGAGCCACTTGAGGTCCCCAGTGTTTTCAGCAAAGACGTCCTCAAGAAGCCACTTTTGGTTGACCTGTAACCCCTGTCACGCCGTCGGGCCTGGAATGCCTCGACCCTTCATCTGCATTTTCCAGTGTCCTTGTGATGCCTGGGCCCAGCATGGCACCTGTGGGGAGTTACCTGTGGTGGGTGAGTAGTAACCCCCCCCCGGTTTGGGAAAGCTGGATTTTTGTTTTTTCTCTGGGGCGCCCTCGGATTAATCCGGACCAGGCCAGGCCAGTCTGGTCCTTTCCGGTGTGGACTGTCTTGCGAATGGAACTGCAACAAATAGGAAAGTAGAAGGAAGTGGCATGTTCAGTTGATTCAGGGCTGGAGAGGGACTTGATTAATCAGACGGGGTGTTGTGTTATTCGGAGAGGGCCTGGTACCCCTTACGGGCGTGGCGGCTTGGCCGTATTTGTTTAAACCAACTGTCATATGACGTGTTTTTTTGCTTCCAGCTCGCGTTTTTTTTGTTTTTTTGATTTCTGGACTGGGAATGTTGGAGACTATGAAAGGAGTTTGGCAAAAGTATTGGCAACGACGCCCCGGTTTTCCCAGCCGAGGTTTGGCCAAAACACCCGCTCAATTTTGTGGGGCACCTCCCACCCTCTGATTGAGGATGCCCCTTTCCGGCAAAAGAAACTCCGACAACGTAATACGCACAAACCGCCGGGCCCCAAGCCACCCACTAGGGAAGCTGAATTAAGATTCATTGAAGGGGACCTCTGTCAGTTGCTCAGCTGTTCAAAGCGACTCGGACGTTTCACCTTTTGGCTTTCCCTCTTTGATCAACTTTGAGTGGCCCCGAAACTTTGGCGCATTTTGCCAAGGGAGGTTAGGACTTTAACTTTTTGCCAACTAATGGGTTTTCCATTAAACCACTAAAAGTTAAACTATTAGCAGGGAAGCAGAAAGCAACCGAGAAAAGGTTAACCACGGCAGGGTACCAAAACCTTCAGAGCCCACCCCATCCGCAGGTCACGGGGAGAAACCGAAACCGGATGCCCCGGCGTCCAGCGCGCGCTGGGACCGGGTGGCCGTGCACCTCAGGCGGGCGACCCTGCAAAAGCAGAGGGTTCCTGGCGTGCCGGTCTGGAGTTTTCAGGGAACCAGGGCGGGAGGGAGGGAGGGAGGGAGGGAGGGAGGGAGGGAGGCCAGGGCGGGAGGGAGGGAGGGAGGGAGGAACAGAGAGAGAGAGAGATAGAGAGACAGAGAGACAGAGACAGAGAGCCAGAGAGCCAGAGAGAGGGGGGGAACCAAGCTATGATGTGCACTAAACGGGCTGAGATCCATTGAACAAATTGCAGGGCGTTCAGCTGTGTCTTTCACACGCGCGCCAAGTTTTCTTCACAAAAAACATGGTGCAGTGACAGAGGGAGTTGGCACATGATCGATCCGTCCAGTTTTCGCCTTCTCGCACCCGCGTGCGAGACTTGTTTCAGCCTCACGCAGATAGATCCTATAGGACTGGGTAGGAGCTGCGCTCAGGTCAAACGCTGGGCAGGGGACCCGGGAAGAGAGCTGAGCCTCCAGACGAATCGATTGCCGATTTATACCCTTTTTCAAGCCTCGAACCAAGTGGAAAAAAACTGGGGTTATGTTAAAACGAAGTGTGCCAAGGTTGATTAAAAAAGAGTTGCCCCTGATATGTTTCATGAAGTATGCGTGGCATGTGACAAAATTCGAGATGTTCAAGCCACATCAGCCACACTCAGCCGGGCAGAAGGGCAAAGTCACCTCCCTTTCCCCGCACCGCCTTGTGACATGGCGCATGCGGCCTTTGCTTGTAGCGGGAGGCTGCCAGCGAGAGCTGCCTGTTCGTTTTGCATTGCAAAATTGCAACGCCTTTATGCGGATCCAGAACACGCGCGGCAAAAAGACTCGCGTGCTCGCTTGTGAATGCCTTTTTTAACTCGCGGCATTGCCTCCGCAAGGGGAACATCGAATCCAGCATTGCCATTTGGAGCTGCGCCACGCGCGTTTCTTTGTGTGGCGCACGGCTTTTCGTTATGACTTGCATCAAAGAGTTGAACTTCCTTTCATGTTGGGCAGTCAGTGATCTCAACGAACATCAACGAAGCTTCGCAACGTGGAATTTTGCTTGGGCAGACGTAGGACTCAGAGTATGCTTGGTGCATTGCTTCTTGGCATGTAGCAACGCACACAACAGCGAAAGCGATTTTGGATCCCTGTGCTTTGACACATTGGTGTGCCAGGTTGAGTTGGTTGATTTAGTATCATGCTCACCCTTCGCAACTTTAGAAAACGCAGGGGGTGAGAGCGGCCCAGTTGAATGAGTTAATCCAACGACACCTGGATTCTATGTCTGGCTTAGCCAAGTCGAATCACCGTTCTACGAGCATTTGTGACGGAAAGGCATTTACCTGGAGATTCCAATGCCGCAGAATTTCTAGGCGTTCTGGTTCTCGAGGCGTTTTAGGCGTTCTATTTGTTTTGTGTATTCTTGCGTTGTTTTGCGGGCGGTCGCCCCTTTTTGTGGGCGTCGCCCCTTTTTGTGGGCGTCTTGCGGAAATTTGCGGGCGTTTCCTGTTTCAAGGCGTAATCTGGAAGGGGGTCGATTCCCGCCGCGTCTGTCCGAGCTGGACTTGGTTGCCAGATGCTCCATCACACATTGCGCGGCAGCATGCTTTGCCGTTTGTTTAGCTTCCCCGCATTGTTTTTTGAAAACGAACATTGGTGTTTCCACGAAGCCCACCACAGATCACGTTCCCATACTAAAATAGACTACAGAAAGAAGAAACGGTACCCTTATTCTATCCTCTCTGCTGGAGGACCTAGCTCAGGACCTTCTGCTGGTTGGGTCCAAAGGAGCCTCCCCCCCCACCCAAAGCCTTCGGAAGATCCAAGCGAGGCAGTGGACCAGGCCGCGCAGCACCTGACGGCGGCGAGCCGCAGCCTGGCCACCCGGCGCCAAGATGAGGCGAAGTGGGAGCCTTTGGACCGGAAACGGGCAAAATCACCTTTGGAATGCGCGGTTAAATGAAAGGTGGATTTTGGCATTGGCAAAAAAAATGTGGCAATTAGCATGTAAATGTGGATTTTGGCGGTGTCTTGGCAAAGTCTGTGGAATTAGGACATGTTTCAGGTCCATTTGGGTTGGGCCTTGTGGACTTTGGCTATACATTGGACCCGCAAAGAGTGAAACGCTGTTTTGCAGAGGGGTCAACAGTAGCCAAGAAACGTGGTTTGGAAGTTTCTTGGAAGGCAAGGCATAGCATTAATCTCAGGGGGTCGGTTGCCGAAAAGCATGTTTAGGGGGGCTCATTGTTGCAACCTTCTCTAAGAAGCCACTTAGACATTGGTGGGGGGGGGGTGTTGTGGGTGGGAGCAGGTTAGCAGTCGGGGAGACGGCGGTTTATCAATGGTAGCATTGGCGTTTACTTAAACCAAGGGTCTCGAGTAGATGCATCATGTTATGCTTGCATGCAACGGAAGCAGCTCCTTCTCAAGGAGTTCAGGATCTTTGGCCTGTTAGGCACAGCGTAAAGACTGGAACACTCTAGGTGGCTGTGGGTCAAAACCAATGGGATCCCATTTTGGGGGTTTTCGGCGCACCACCCATTTTAGTCTATTTTAGTGGGGACTGGGAGGTTCACTGAGGGTACGGGCTTTTGACCCATGGCCAGATGTTCCGACAAGTTTCTGGAGGTTTGCGTCCGGGCATCAACCAATTTCAAAAGGTAGCTGCTGGCACCACTTGGTTCATGATGCTCATGCATGTTCACTGCAGGCTGACCGGCCGGGCCATTTCTAGCACTGACAAAGCAGCACCAGCATGCGACCACTCGACGCTGCTGAGCCGCAACGTTTGACCCAGAGGCAAACCGCATCACGTGACTGTCTTTGAGCTGGGCTTGCGAACATTCAACCTGCAAGCTTTATTTGTCGCCGATGCGCCTGGATCGCCAGTGGCCGTTTCCTCCCAGCAACTGTGACCCAGAGTTCCGCTTTTTTACTACCCCAAGACAGACTCAAACCCCGAAATGGCTCATTCCCCCCAAAAAACCGAACCCCTAAATGGTTCATTCCCCCGAAATGGCTCGTTCATTCCCCGAACCCCTCATTCCGTGGGGTTGAAGTCTGTGGGGTCCAAAAGCGGACTGGCCGATTCCGCTTTTGGGAACCCCAGCCCCGCTCCATGGGCTCCCTTAGCGAAGGGGCGGGCTGGATCGTGACAGGCCCAGCCACCCAGTTGCTTACCGAGTGGTTGGATCGTTTTTTATTTTATTTTTAATTTATTTGTTTAATGTTTTTTTTCTATTTGGTTGGGTTCCGTTCCTTTCTTAGCAGGCTGCCAAGAAAAAGTGCAATTGCTAGCATGCCAAAGGTTTGGAAGTGGTTGTCACGGTTACCAAAGATGAGAGGAGCGGAAGGGGAAAGGCTTTGGGTCCCCGTCGGGCATGGCTTTGAATCAGAGGCTACCCTCGGCAGATATAAAGATTGAGTTCTGCGATTCTTGCACGGCACCATGTCTGTAACACCCTGCTTGATCGCCCAGCTCTATTGCAATGGCAGCCGGCTTCAGAAAACCGCGTTTCTTTTTTTCAGCGCCTTAGCTTTCAATCAATATGGGTCATGCGACTTAGGTTGCAGTGGTTCAGGCTATGATTCATGGTTTCCATTTCCAGAGGTTGCCCATGCGGCTGACTTGCGGTGCCCCAGAAACAGATCGGGGGATGCCAGGTGCGTGCGGCCCGGGCCATCTGCGCCAGGAGCCTGGTCGCCAGTGGCCACGGACAGCATCCACCTCCCCCTCCCACCGGTCACCCCCTTTTCTGATTCTGCGGGTTGAAAAAGAAGGCTAGGAAGTATCATCTGTCAAGAGACAGGAAGGCCAAACTCCCGCAGATCAAAGATTTTCAGAAAGAAGCCCTCACTTGGAGCAGAGAGAAAGCCTGTACCCTTTACCGGTTTCTAATGTGGCCTTCATGTGCCAGTTGGGCATGTAAGAGTTGATTCGGTAATTATGACCTGCAGCAACCCTGCCACCGAGCCCGCTACAAGTGCACGAATGCAAGCTGCCGAGTCTCGTGGGAGTGTCAAAGCTGCGAGAAGTTAAAAGCGGGGATGCATCGATTCCTTCTGGGCTTCTTGCATAGGCTGTGCATATGCGATTCTCACGTATGGCATGGGCTTGGCGTAGTCCCTGGGATGTATACTTGGGCCATCTCCACGAGGCTTGGTCGGGTTTGGGAACCCCACGATTTGGGTTTTCTACGCCGCCCCCAATAAATTGTACGATGCTGGGTAAAATGAATTGGACAAAGCCAGAAAGGGTTGTTGGTCGGGTTTGGGAACCCCGCGATTTGGGTTTTCGACCCCACCCCCAACCTGTACCCAACAGTTAAAACCGATCTGAAAAAGATCCGCCAATGGATGGCTTAGCTCGTTCCGCCCGGAGTCCGGAGGCGGCGCTTCAGGGCGACCTCCCAGGCGGGGCCCCGGGGCCGGAAGGAAATCAAGGGGAAAGCCGAAGCCATTTTCAGGGGGCGAGGCCTAAAGAGAGCCGAGCCAGGTCTATCCCTGTTAAACCTAGCTCCTTTCCGCCCCCCCAGTTATCAATCAGGGGCGAAGCCCCTGAAAGAAAGAATGGACACCGCTCGGTTTTTTTTCAATCAGGGGTCAGCGTTGGGAATTGGAATTGGGGACCCGTGGAAGGACGTCATGGTGATTTGTGCCCACCATGGTTGGCGGGGTCCCTATAGTTTGTTGCCATGTGTTTCGGCAAGGGCACGTTGAACAAAAAATGTTCTCTTACCCAATCATTGAGGTTGGGCAAGCGTTTGCGCATGTCTTGGTAAGGATTCACACAGCCCAAACAAAACCCAGTCCTGCGCCACAGAAGCACGGCGTTGCCTTGACATTCTGGTTTGGAGGAGGCCCCCGTTGCAATTGTTTTTGATTTGGGAGGACCCCACTTGATCCTGTGATACTGCAGCCATAGAGAAGAATGAACATGCTGGGCGGCATTTCTCAAGGGCTCCATGGAACGTCCTTCCTGAAGGTTCCATTTCCTCCTTGGCAGAGTGTGCAATTGGGCATGTTGGTTTTGTGTTTTTTGCTTGGTTTGTTTTAAAGGGAAACCAACACGCGCTCCGCCCATGCAGCGGCGTGTCCCACCTTCTTGGATACAAACCCAATCAACTAGATACTATACAGGAATACTTTTGGCAGACCAGGGTTGCCGCCAACTGGGGTATGCGGTGTAAACATGACAATATGGACTTATCTATCAGGGCATCCGAAGCTCGGCAAAGCATAGCGTGAAAGCTGGTTTCGGGCTCACTGCAAGCACTATACGCTCGAGTGTTGTTCAGTTTCGCAATCGATCGATGTTTAAACTTGGTGCCAGTTTGTTTCTTTTGTTTTTGCGTTTGTCTCTCAAGGTTCTCTGGAACCCCGAAAAGAGCGTGTGCTTTTGGCTTTGCCTTAGCACAAGGACATACAAGGACCACAAGGGGGTACCATACAAAAACGGGCACACCCATCAGTGTATGACTTGGTCTCTGGGCAGCGTGCCATGTGCCTTGCTCAGGGGCGCGGCAGCTGGCGAGCGAAGGGCAGGACGCGAAAT